TGTGTGTGTGTGTGTGTGTGTGTGTGTGTGTGTGTGTGTGTGTGTGTGTGTGTGTGTGTGTGTGTGTGTGTGTGTGTGTGTGTGTGTGTGTGTGTGTGTGTGTGTTGTATGTATATATATATATATATATATATAACAGATGCTCAGTACCACCTACCCCCAGGTACAGCAAGCCTCCTTGAGCTGCTCTGGCTGGCACACAAAATTACTCGACACAAGATTAAGCATGGTATAACCCGTTTCCAAGTACCCCAAAGGTATTAGCAAGCCAGTGCATCCCGCAGTTTCGCCGTTGAGGTTTGTCCGTGGCCCTGGTGAAAAAGTGAACAGGCCATTTTCGTCGATGTCGATGGGACTGTCGGTGTACAGGAAGATGTGCGGCACCGCTACAGGGAATGATAAGGTGGAGTAGTCAGAGGCATGCTTGTTTACACCCCTCGATATCACTTGATGCTATAGAACGCGATGATACAGAGTTCCTATAGTCATACGTTTCCGAACCCCCGTACTTAGGCAAAGACTTGGATCACATACTTAAACATAGAGCCACGTATATAGCTACATGTGATACGCCTGTAAGTACATGTATTACATACCCGGACATGTGTTCACACTTCCCATTTAGGGACGTGTTTTCTTTTGCTGCACAATGCGTCTGCAAATGGCACTCATGAAATAAAACTTCAGAAGTCTCGTACTACCCCAGTGAAGTCTTCGGGCGCTGTGATACGACCATTATACACACACGCACGCACAATGCCACCATACACCTATATATATGTGCACACACTCGCATACAGACACTCGTGTATGTCATACACAATCATCGATGTACACATGCGTACACAAAAGTGCATATTAAGGTACACACACATAGGTGCATATACACACTCACACACTCACATAATCACCTATTCATACACGCGTACGTATATGTCCATCCACACACATACACACACTCACACATTCCCCACACCTTCCTCGTGCTTGACCATGCGTCCCCGGTTGGCGTTCTGCAGCACACTCTCGGGAGTCACACTCACTCACGCCCACGCACAATCACCTATCATACACGCGCATATATAGGTACACATACACACTCTCTCAAACACACAATTACCTATCCATACACGCATACGTATAGGTACACATATATATATACGCACGCTCACACACTCCCCACACCTTCCTCGTGCTTGACCATGCGTCTACGATTGGCGTTCTGCAGTACACTCTCGGGAATTTTATTGCCCGGCGAGTCCCCAAGTGCGTCTGTGTCTGAGACTGTGCTAGGGCGGCGCTTGTCGTCGTCGTCGCCGCCAATGGTCAGCAGTTGACACGTGCTGTTGGCGTGCATCTCTACAAAGGTGCGCTGTAACGGCCCCACCTGAGGCCAGTGTGCATGCGCAAGAGGGGTAGGGTTGGATACAAAGAAAGGGGTGTAGGGTTTAGGGTTTGTGTACGTGAAGGGATGGGCTGTGCAGACGTGTAAGCAAGCACGCAGGAGGTAGCATGGGATATATGGCCTACTCCTGCGACATATGTAATAATATATGTATATATATATATATGTTTGTGTGTGTGTGTGTGTGTGTGTGTGTATGTATGTGTGTGTGTGTGTGTGACGTTATGTATGATA